CAGGCTCCAGGCTCCGAGCCATCAGCCCAGAGCCCGACGCAGGGCTCAAACTCACGGACCGCGGACGCTTAACCGACTGCGCCACCCAGGCGCCCTAAGCATTTTTTTTTTTAATTTTTTTTTCAACGTTTATTTATTTTTGGGACAGAGAGAGACAGAGCATGAACGGGAGAGGGGCAGAGAGAGAGGGAGACACAGAATCGGAAACAGGCTCCAGGCTCTGAGCCATCAGCCCAGAGCCCGACGCGGGGCTCGAACTCACGGACCGCGAGATCGTGACCTGGCTGAAGTCGGACACTTAACCGACTGCGCCACCCAGGCGCCCCGTGCATTTTTTAAAGATTGTGTAAACTCTTAACAAATCTTTACGGAAGAAACACCTCATTCACAAATGGCATTTATTTCCTTCAGGTCACGACGAATGGTTAGGATACTTTGCTTATACCTGGTCCTTAAGAACAAAACAAAACAAAACAAAATAAGCTTAAAGTATTTTAACTTGTCTATTAGTTTATGCATTCAAAGGCAGGGTTGAGATTGTCAATACTTGGTCACAAGTACCAGGAATTAGAAGGGATCCTGCAGATTACTGACTCAAACCTTCCATTTGACAGATGAGAGATCTTGTTAGGGGGTCTTAAGGGTTAATGCCTGAATGGGACTCAGCCCCCAGGAATAATTATAATAATAACAAACACGAAGTTCTTACCATGTGCCAGGCACTGTGCTAAACGTTTTCCATACATTATCTCATTATCTTTCTTTTTTTTTTTACTAGGAGCCTCATGTATGGATGAGGAAAATGATACTCAAAGAAGGTGATGATACCTTCTCCAAACCACCAAGGAGCGCCAGAATTTCACCCCAGAGCCCGCAAACTTCTCCCCCTCCCGCAACCGCCCCCAGTGTCAAGTCTCAGTTGGCCATTCTCCCTGCTTCACCGAGAGGATAAAATGCATCTCTGTTAATCAGGCCGTTCCCAGCTCCACAAGTGCCCCTGCACGTTAGTTAAAAACCAGGTGACATCTCAGAGCAGACGTGGCTGAAAGAACTGACCGTTCAAGGTGTTGTTGTGGTGCACGTCGAGAAGGTGAAAATACTCCACCAAGACCTTCACGTTCCTCACGGATAACAGGCAGTATAGCTTGTCCAGATAGAGGTACCACAGAAACGAGCCCTGCTTCAGTTTCATCGTGGCGCTCCGGAGGCCGAAGGCGCGGGCGACCTGGAACAAAGGAGGGTTCTGGAACTAGAATGCTGGCTCGAGAGAGGCTCTGGGAGTAGGCAGAGACATCACAGGAAGCAGTCAGTAAAAAAATTAAAATTGCTTCCTCCCAGTCCTCTGGCCTGGCTGGTAGTATCTGTGGTCTTAAATCTCTCGCTACCTTGGTTTTCCTCTGCCACCACATCACCAGTTGTAACCGAAAATCACAGACTGTTTAGAAATGAATGCGAGAACACTCTCTGCTTACACTCTGTCTCTCTCTCAAAATAAAGACCCCCACACACACATTTTTTATTTATTTATTTAAAAATTTTTTTTTAATGTTTTTATTTATTTTTGAGACAGAGAGAGACAGAATATGAGCAGGGGAGGGGCAGAGAGAGAGGGAAACACAGAATCCGAAGCAGGCTCCAGGCTCCGAGCTGTCAGCACAGAGCCCGACGCCGCGGGGCTCGAACTCACGAACTGCGAGATCATGACCTGAGCCGAAGTCAGACGCTCAACCGACTGAGCCACCCAGGCGCCTCCCCTCCCCTAATTTTTATTTTTATTTTTTAATGTTTTTATTTATTTTTGAGACAGAAAAAAATTTTTTTAGAAGAGTCACGTGCTCCACTGACTGAGCCAGCCAGGTGCCCCAAGGCCTGTTTTTGTCTTTCACAAAATTTATAATGGAATTTGCAAATACTGTATATCACAAAGTAAAGAGATTGGTATAAAAACCTACATGCAATCAGCATCCAGCCTCAACAATTACCAACTCAGGGCCCATCTTGTTTCATCTCTATTCCCCCATCCACCACCACCACCACCAACTGGATTATTTTGAAGCAAACCCCAGACATAACTTCTCATCTGTGAAGATTTGAATATATATTTCAAAAAGAGAGCGACTCTTTTATTTTTAACATAACCACCTATCACTTCTATACCTAAAACCAAACAGCATTCCTTAGTGTCATCAAATATTCACTCGGCATTCAAGTTTTCCTAATTTTCTTTAATTTTTTAAATTTTTCTGTATTTAAAAAAGTTTTTTAAACAAATCTCAATTCATTTGAGAGAGAGAGAGAGAAAGAGAAAGAGAGAAAGAGAGAGAGAATCCCAAGCAGGCTCCATGCTGAGCAGGGAGCCCGACCCAGGGCTTGATCCCACAACCCTGGGATCAGGACTTGAGCTGAAATCAAGAGTTAGACACTCAACCAACTGAATCACCCAGGCGCCCCCTTTTAGATTTTTAATAGATGATTTATTTAAGTCAGGAAGCCAAACAGATCTAAGTATTACTTTAGTCTGTTTCTTAATATCTTTAGGCTCCTCTTTTCTTTGTCTTGAAATTTATTTGTTGAGGAATCCAGACTGTTGTGTAGAAGAAAACATTCTGGTTTTTGCAGATTTTTCTCTCCAATGTGTTAACACATTCTTCTGTCTCCTGTATTTTCTATAAACTCATGGTTAGGTCTAGCATGAAAGCTGGTTTTAGGGAAAGACCAATAAACACAGATAAACTTTTGGCAAGTGTGATAAAAAGATTTCTAAAACTGAGAACGAGGAAGGGAACAATTATTGATGTGGAAGAGTTCAAAATACATATAAGAATACTATACACAGCTCTAAAAAGCTAAATTAGGGGCACCTGGCTGGCTCAGTGGGTGGGGCTTGTGACTCTGGATCTTGGGGTTGTAGGTTTGAAGCCCTATGTTGGGTGTAGAGATTACTTAAAATCTTCAAAAGCTAAAATATCTATGTCCAATAAATATACACCGTGAACCACAAATATGAGTCACGTACATAATTTGAAATTTTCTAGTAGCCACATTTTTTTAAAAAGTAAAAAGAAGTGAAATTAATTTTTTTTTAAATTTTTTTTTCAACATTTATTTATTTTTGGGACAGAGAGAGACAGAGCATGAACGGGGGAGGGGTAGAGAGAGAGGGAGACACAGAATCGGAAACAGGCTCCAGGCTCTGAGCCATCAGCCCAGAGCCTGACGCGGGGCTCAAACTCACGGACCGCGAGATCGTGACCTGGCTGAAGTCGGACGCTCAACCGACTGCGCCACCCAGGCGCCCCGAAGTGAAATTAATTTTGATAACATTTAACCCAGTGTGTCTGAAATGTTATTTCAATTTGTAATCAATATACTTTTTAATTAGCTATTTTACAATTCTTTTTTTGAACTCTATTGAGATTCAATTGACATATGACACTGAGTGAAAAAAAAATTTTAATGTTTATTTATTTTTGAGACAGCACGAGTCCGGGAGGGGCAGGAGAGGGAGACAGAGGATCTGAAGCAGGCTTTGCACTGACAGCCGCAAGCCCTATGCGGGGCTCAAACTCACGACTGTGAGATCATGACCTGAGTGGAAGTGCGATGCTCAACCGACTGAGCCACCCAAGTGCCCCAACATTATGTGAGTTTAAACTGTACAACATGCGGGGCACCTGGCTGGCTCAGTTAGTAAAACATGACTTTTTTTTTTTTTTGATGTTTATTAATTTTTGAGAAAGAGACAGAGACAGAGCACAAGCAGGAGAAGGGCAGAGAAGGAGACACGGAATCCGAAGCAGGCTCCAGGCTCTGAGCTGTCAGCACAGAGCCCAATGCAGGGCTCAAACCCATGAGCCATGTGATCATGACCTGAGCTGAAGTTAGATGCTCAACCGACTGAGCCACCCAGGCACCCAGAGCGCATGACTCTTGATTTTGGGGTTGTGAGTTCCAGCCCCACCTTGGGCATAGAGTTTACTTAAAAAAAAAAATGGGGGTACAACAGCTTTACTAGTCTTCTGAAGAATCATGAAGAGAGGAAAGTCTCCAACTCATTTTATGTGTCTAATATTATCTGCATGCCAACACATGGCAAATCAGTATAAGAAAGGAAAGTTAGAAATCTCACTCATGAACATAAATGCAATAATTCTAAAGAAAACATTAGCAAACTAAACCCATACACATAAACACTGAGAAAAATAACACCCACAAGTGAATTCTTCCGGCACAGAAAAATAATCCCACGTGGAAACACAGAAATTCAGGAAGGGAACAAGAGCACCAGAAATTGAAAATGAGTGAGTAAATCTAAATGAGTATTTACCATACACGACACTAAAAATAATGTCATATGAGGACTCTAGCTGCAGGTGCTCTCAGAACTCACCAGGAGCTACCAAGGGAAAGATCTGCTGGCGCTGGGAGGAGGGAGAAGAAACCATGTCATATTTAACCGCATTTTTCCAGTGTTGTAGTCAGAGTGAGTGCTGCTAGCTGCTGTAACGACTCTTGGAATATCAGAACTCTTTGCCAATGCCATGGTAATTGGTAGCATTCAAGACCTGGTGCTCCGTCAGGTCAGCCGAGTTCCTGAGTGACCGCACAAAAAGACAAAGGACCCTTCCCTTTGCCCAAGGTAAGAGCCAGAGGTCTTTACCTGGGCCCTGGGAGGGAGGGGTTTTGTTCTCCTCTCCCAATAGCATAAAGCTTTTGCTTTGAAGGCGGTTGCTTTTGCACTTCTAGGGAAGTAGCGGAGGCCTTATACTCCTCTCCTGGCAGCCACCATTAAATATTGCAACAACATGAGTGAAAAGAAGCCAGACTTAAAAGAGCACATACTGGGGGCGCCTGGGTGGCTCAGTAGGTTAAGCGTTCGACTCTTGGTTTCAGCCCAGGTCACGATCTCACGGTTCGTGATACGGAGCCCCGCACGGGGCTCCATGCTGACAGCACGGAGCCTGCTTGGGATTCTCTCTCTCCCTTTCTCTGCCTTATCTTGCTCATGCACCGTCTGTCTCTCTCTCTCTCTCTCTCTCAAAATAAACAAATTAATTTTAAAAAGAATATGATTCCACTTAGATGATACATTAGGAAAGGCAATTCCAATATATGGTGGCAGAAAACATCAGCTGTCGCTGGGGCCAGGAGTGTGAATGGGGATTGCCTGCTGAAGAAACAAAAGGAATTTTCTCAGATGATGGACAAGTTCTGTACCTTGACTCTGGTGACAGTTACATGGGCATATACATTTGTCAGAACTCCTAGAACTGTGTGCTCACAATGGGTGCGTTTTTCTTGAATGTAAATTAAACCTCAATAAAGTTGATTTTTAAAAATTACAAAAATTAGACACAAATAATTCAATCACATCAGTATTAAGCATATTTGCTCAATAGAAGACACTGTTTACAAAGTTAATGGATGATAAATCAGAGAGATACTTGGAATGTCTAAACCGAATAATAAACTGCCATCAAAAAGTGAGACAAGAGGGGCACCTGGCTACTGGTAGAGCATGCAATTCTTGATCTTGGAGTTGTAAGTTTGAGCTCCATGGCAGGTGTAGAGATTACTTAAAAATAAAATCTTAAGGGCACCTGGGTGGCTCAGTTGGTTAAGCATCCGACTTCGGCTCAGGTCATGATCTCACAGTCGGTGAGTTCGAGCTGTCAGCACAGAGCCTGCTTCAGATCCTCTATTCCCCTCTCTCTCTTCCCCTCCCCTGCTCATGTTCACTCTGTCTCTCTCTCAAAGATAAATAAATATTAAAAAATTAAAAAAATAAAATAAAATCTTACAAAAAATTCAGGAATAATAGCAGTGAAACTGACAAATCACTTAAGTAGTAATTAGTAAAATATATTGTGCAAACACCAAAAATACAGTTCTCAGACCAGGAACACTCAAACCAAAACATGGAATGAGGCTCAGGAGTATATTGTTAAAAAGCAGTTTATATAGTGAGAAAGTAGTGACTATTTCTCACAGTGATTTGTTATTAGAATATTCTTAAATGATAAGGAAATGGTCAGTGGTTACCACCTATCAACCTTGGGAAACAGTTCAAGTTTTGCTTGTGATTTCCAGAGGCATATGCAAGAAATGACCCAGGTCAAGTTAGTCTTGCAAAATAAGCTAAATTAAGCTTTGTTTGTATGACTAAAATGGTTTTGTCTGCTGAAGAATTTTCAAGCAAGCCTGGTCTCCATTTGTTTTTCATTTTAACATTATCTTGATTTTAAAACCAGATGAAGGCAGCACAAGAAAAGTATAGACCCATTTGACTTGTGAGCATAGATACAAAAATCCTAAATATAAGATTTGCCAGGCAAAATACTTACTTTCCGGGAATGCAAGAATATTTTAATCAATGAAATTCACCATTTTAAAAAAAATTTTTTTTTAACGTTTATTTATTTTTGGGACAGAGAGAGACAGAGCATGAATGGGGGAGGGGCAGAGAGAGAGGGAGACACACAGAATCGGGAGCAGGCTCCAGGCTCTGAG